CAAACAGCCATAACAATAGGCAATTTTTCGCGAGGATAATCGAACATAATCTGATTATGCTCAGTTGTTATGTGTCAATTGTGTCATACTCCCCTAACTTCCTCCGCATCCAATTCTGGGCCTGCGAGTGACGTCACTATCAGCATCTTATATAGTGACGACGTCACCCGCAGACCTCGATGGATTGCTTGCGATTCAGGCTGTGCTAGTGAGTTAATTTTTTAGTCGATTTTATTATACAAAAGGTGATTTTCAGCCTGCTGTTCTGACAGAAGAAGTTAAGTGTTTTCGATCCTCGAGTATCCCAGAATTTGATGGTGGGGGAGTTAGGAGAGTATGACACAATTGACACATAACATCTGAGCATTATCGAGTATGCTGGCCTCGCGAAATATTGCCGAATATATGTTGAATACTTTGAATATTAAACTACAGGAAGGAGCATAACTTCGAATCTGCGCGACCAAAATATGTGGAGGTTGCATATGGCCGACTAGTATTTCCGGTTTGGCAGTGGCGTATATTTACTTAAATATCATTGTCAATATGACTCACTCTTTTCTCACTAATTCCAGTACTTATTATGACTTAAAACCGCTAAAATCCATTAAACATCCACTTGAATGAGGACACAGCGAACCACCAAAACAAATGATAAGTCCATACTTGGAGGCTCAATATGGCCGTTTCCGTCCCTACGTTGTCTGTAGTGACAGATAGAAAACGCTCCTTCCTGTAGTTATATTCAAAGGTTGAATACAATTGACCTTTTGTTTGGACGCCATATTGCGGTGCGCGAACATAGTTGCCAAAAGTAGAAAAAAAAAATCACTAGCGTACTGTCAATATTAAAAACAAAAGTTACTGAATATATTACATTTAAAATTTAAATTTGCCGCCTATTACGAATGTTTTTGAAAAGAAAAGCCATCAATTTTAACTTGTATTGGGCAGAATAGAAATAAAAAAATATCTACCTACTCACTTTACGAAATTTCGGTTTCCTTTCTCAAGTCTAGTACTCATAACCGCGAAATACCCTCTTTTTTGACATTGTTTCGACAATTTGACGTTTTATGTGTGAATCAAACGTCAAAAAAGAGCGAATTTCGCGGTTATGAGTGCTAGGCTTTATTGTTTATAGAATCAGAGAGAGAAAGTAAACAAACAAAAAGGATAGCGAGGATCAATCATTTAGTTACTTTTGTTTTTAATGTTGACAGCCCACTAGTAATTTTTGTTTTCTTCTTTTGGCAACTATGTTCGCGCACCGCAATATGGCGTCCAAACAAAAGGTCAATTTGAATTTGATTTGATCGCTTGTAGCGGCATCTAGCGGTTGTCTCACTTCGATATGTTGTTGGAAACCTGAAGATAATCAACGCTGATCACCAGATTTGTAAATTGACCTTTTGTTTCGACGCCATATTGCGGTGCGCGAACATAGTTGCCAAAACAAGAAAACCAAAAATTACTAGCGGGCTGTCAACTAGATATTTTATGATTTCTATTCTGCCCAATACAAGCTAAAATTGATGGCTTTCCTTTCCAAAAACATTCGTAATAGGCGGCAAATTTAAATTTTGAATGTAATTTATTCACTAACATTGGATTTTAAGGTTGACAGAACGCTAGTCATTTTTTTTTTCTACTGTTGGCAACTATGTTCGCGCACCGCAATATGGCGTCCAAACAAAAGGTCAATTGACCTTTTGATTCGACGCCATATTGCGGTGCGCGAACATAGTTGCCAAAACAAGAAAACCAAAAAATACTAGCGGGCTGTCAACTAAATGATTCATCCTTGCTATCCTTTTTGTTTGTTTACTTCTTCTCTCTGATTCTTTAATCGAACAAACTTAACCTAGGTAACCAAAATTTGGTAAAGAAAATAGGTAGATATTTTATTATTTCTTATCTGCCCAATACAAGCTAAAATTGATGGCTTATCTTTCCAAAAACATCCGTAATAGGCGGCAAATTTAAATTTTAAATGTAATTTATTCACTAACTTCTGTTTTTAAAGTTGACAGAACGCTAGTAATTTTTTTTCTACTGTTGGCAACTATGTTCGCGCACCGCAATATGGCGTCCAAACAAAAGGTCAATTAAGGAAAGATGAAAACCAAGGCTGAATTTGGCTTTACACTCAGTAAACTCCGAGCGCGCTCGAAACGATAAGTTCCTGTTCGTTTTAGCTGTCAGAACGTTCTCTTTTGCGTTCGGGATACAATCGAGCACGCACCCTGAGTTCACTCTCTTTTCCCTGGATGGATGCCGGATGGAGAGAATGGCTCTCTACTTTTATTTCTCCATTGCCAATTTACCTACTCATTCACTAGTAAAATAATTAAAATCGTTACAATAGTTATTAATTATACAAGACGGTAAAAAGATGCTTTACCTGTGAGTGGAAAATGTTGATTTTGATTCACGAGCGACGAAGGAGCGAGTGGATTAATTTCACGAACAAGCAAAGCTTTTTTATCGCGTGTGTAATACTTTGGTAATACTCTATTTAATTCTCGAGCGGAAATATTTTAACAAAAAAACGGTAAATTGTCTAAAACGTTACTGATACTTTTGTTTCGAAATAAATGACCATCAAGTATATTGAGTGGGTAAAATTAGCAAATGAGTGGGTGAAATTGTCGAATGAGTGAGTAAAATTGACATGAGTGGGTAAACAGTTCGATTTCACGATTTTAAATAAAGTTTTACCTACTTTGACAACGACGAGTTTTGAGTCGAAAAAATGATAGTTTACCATTGGCCATAGAAAAAATTACTTTTTCTGCGATTGACAAAAAATTTACCGTCAATATTTTTGACCGGTTGACAGGTCGCAAAACTCAATATTCTGGTACCTATTTTAATTATGTTTCAATAGTGGCTAAGGAATCATTGAATAACAATACGGGAATCACTTTTCCGGCCTAGGGCAGGAAAGTGATTCTCGTACTGCTGAACAATTAGAACCAAAAGACAAACATTTGACAGATATTTAATCGATCGCAGAAAAAATAGTATGCGTATTTCGGTGGAAAAGCGCATTCTGGAGACTAGTGAAAACTGTGACAAAAGTTCAGTTTTTTTTTCGATCTGCTTATCAGTCCAGAGTCGCTTTCCAGTGACGCACCTGGGGCTGCTTATAGGCGTTCCAGGCGAGTTCCGCACAAGTGAACTATTCGTTTTTTTCTCTCCCCTAACCCCCAAGCACCTACTAAAGTAGTGTGAAGTAGGATGCGTTCCAGTGAAACGAAACAACAGTTGCTTGGAGCACCAGAGTGTGAAGCTACGGTCGTGGCGCACCTGGAAAGCGACTCTGAGTTGTACAGTAAAAAAAAAGTAGTACAAGAAAAATCTTCAAAATCTCCTGGTCTAATAAACATTAATTCAATTCATAACCAAAAATGACATATTTTGGCTTTTTACGACAAGTTTTTAACCTAGAAGGCTTTAGATGACATTCTTTGACATTTTTCCACCCGCTTTTAACCTAGAATATGTCATTGCCTGAACTTAACATTTTTTGAAATGTTTGTCAAAATTTTGTATGTTATACCGGGAGCTCAAATTGGAATTAATAATTTTTGTACTACTTTTTTTTGAACGCAACTGTATGTTGTTGGTGCACTCTGCATATCACGTCAGGATATCCATGCTAAGTTGTATTTATTCCTTTCAAGAGTTTGAAACACTCGAGCTACTCGCTCCGGTGTTCAGTCGCCCCCGATTTGCAGGGAACAGATGCGTGGTGCAACAAACACTTTTTGAAAGGAGCGTGAAGCCCCGGAGCTGTTCCGGAGCTCCTCCTAGGTGTGAAAGGAATACAACTATTATCGTTCCGCTCCGTGAAGTGTATAATGCCTCATTCTCACTTGCGCGAAATTCGCTCTTTTTGCGCGAAATTTGGTCTTTTTTTGACATTGCTTCGACAGGTTGACGTTTTAAGCGTGTATCAAACGTCAAATTTTCGAAGCAATGTCAAAAAAAAAGCGAATTTCGCGCAAGTGAGAATTAAGCTTAAGGCTGAGTTCGGCTTTGCACTCCACGAAGCGGCGGCACGGTATGAGCATGGATATCGTCATACCACTCATAGTATGAGTGGTATGATGACCGCGTATGACGGTCATACGCGGTCATAAAGCCTAGTACTCATAACAGCGAAATTCGCTCTTTTTTGACATTGCTTCAACAATTTGACGTTTTATGCGTGAATCAAATGTCAAATTGTCGAAGCAATGTCAAAAAAGTGCGATTTTCGCGGTTATTAGTACTAGGCTTAAGCCCAACGCAAACGAGAACACTCTTGAGAGTTAAAACGAACAGGATCTTATCGTTTAGAGCGCGATCAGAGGTTACAGAGCGTAAAGCCGAACTCAGCCCAAGGCTGTAAAGCCGAACTTAGCCGAAACAGAGGGCTAATCAGATACAGTGGGTACGCTCCCGAATGGCCTGCTTGCTAACTAATAATCGTCGATTTTTAACTGACACTTTCCGTATGAGGAGCGAGGGGTTGTTTCATGTGGCAAAAACAGATGTGACGTCAGGTAACCATTGGCGTTTTAATGTAGGGAGCCACCAGCTCACATTAGCTGTATTCCTTTCAAGAGCTTCAAGCACTTGAGCTACTCGCTCCGGTGTTTAGTCGCCCCCGATTTTCGGGAACAGATGTGTGGTGTAGCAAACACTTTTCGAAAGGAATAAGTGCGTGAAGCCCCGGAGCTGTTCCGGAGCTCCTCCTAGGTGTGAAAGGAATACAACTATTCCGTCCGAGTATCAGATTAAAATCGACGGAGAATACAGGGGCGCGTTGCTCGTTCAGATCGGACACTCCGGGCGATGTCCGGTGTAGAGTGTTACCCGATAGAGGGTGCGATTCGGGTTCGCCGTCGATTTAACCGTTTTTTGTTTTATCTATAAATTGGTTAAATATAATTATAACCAGTATGGTAGAAGCCATGTGAATTTCTTCATATATGAAGAATGACTCTCAACGTTCAGAGCGCGCTTTGGTGACACCCGACCTTCAATGAACACGCCCCTGAAATGCAGTAAACTGTCAATTGTCATTGTCTGCTGATTTTCGCTAGTTGATATATATTTTGATTTCATATCATTTTTGTTAGTGCAGAGTGTGGACTGCGAAGTGGGCAAATTTTAGTTTATTTCATTCCTTGGTTTTTAGATTCTAGTATTTTCTCTTCCCCCGTTACTCGTCAATTACGGTTACTTTTTAGTTTGTAGGTATGATGTTTATGCCTCATTTTCTGGGCGGGATATTTTTGGTGCTGATTTCCCCGGTGGTGTTTCAACAGGTGTTTACAATTCAATTGCGTAAGTGTATTTTTAATATGCTTGGTAAACATTTTTTTTTTCATGGGCTGCCGCTGTAATAACAATAGCGCATTCCTATACCTATTTTTATATATTCAATAAAGTGGTTGAGACTGCTGCATAGGCCAAGATTGAGATTATCCAATTCTTTGATTCTAATTTTTGTGCCTAATTCAGCAGTTGAATTTATTTTACTTTGGTGTGTTCTCAGGATTTAAGAGTTATGAAAGAATTGGCTCGAGAATCGGGTACTTCCTTGGAAACTTCTGGCATTTTCCTTTGGGTCTATAATACCTCTCAATACTTCAAGACTATACATTCACACATGAATGGCAGAACTTTTAACATTCTCAACAAAGTAATTTTTATAGAAAAAAATGGTTGGCAATAACTCAATAAAGCCCTGGTTTCTCTGACTAGTTCGGCCCAGAATATTTCAGTGATATGGCTCGAAAAGTTCGTTAGCGTTTCCGCTGAAACCCAGTATATGTGTAATACATAGTAGCGGTTTTTATAAAAGATCGGAACGAAGTTTCGGGAAAGCATGCGGACAGCAGTTTGTCTGAATCTAACTGGTTTTGATTTGAACGGCACAGTTTGCCAAATTTGTTGAATGTGTGGAGAAATAGGAGTCAGATGTTTATTTGTAGGTTGCGAACTGATTTCATCCTTTATATCGTCTCCCTTATCACGCAGGGGCGTATCTAACACAAAAGTTTAAAATTGTGTTTTCAACAAATTTAGGCTTTTCTGAGGTACACTTTTGATCTCACGAAGTGGCGTAACGGTATCTGTTATAGTTTTCTTTAGAGGACTTATCTTATTGAGAAAGAAAAAAATATATCACTTAGAGGCGTATATGCAAACTTCATTTTTTTCCAAAAAATCTATAAAAGCCATCATAGGTCCAGTACCTTATATTTATGGAAGCATATAGATAAGGTTTTAGTGTAGAAAAATGACCATGATCTGTTTAAAAATGAAAACACCAGATAACATTACAAAAAGTGCATTTTACATTTTTATCATCTCCTGAAAAAAATTACGAATTTGGATACGCTTCTACGTGATAAGGGGGACGATATGTCGAGTACAGTATGGAACAGTTGTGGTTGTGAAGTTAAACGAAAAAATTCTTTGAACTTTGTACCTTTATCCGAAAGATGCTTAAACACTAACAATTCATAAACACCTTCTTTGTCCCTATTCTCAAACATTCCTAATACTGTCTTATTTTCCGTACATACTTTCCATCATCATCATCCTCTTCTTCTAGAGCCATAGCAATAAAAAAAATCCATATTATGCATGTTGAAGCTCAAGAAGCCTACGTTAAATCGTTGTTTGGTAAAATATTGAAGACTGAAATATATCGCAACGAACTAAAATGTTCAGACAAACCACACACAGACGAAACTTCTGACCGAACTAAATTCGGGAACCTAGAGCGTCGAGTAGAGCGTTCTGTACGCGAATATTCGCTGAAATATTTCGAGTCGATCTGTTCATATAAACTTAATAGAATTTTTTAGGAATTTTTATTTCAAATAGGATGTAGGTATCCTAATTTCACAATATTATGTAATACAAACTATAATACTTATCTCAAACCTAAAAATACTTAAGGACATCATTTTTCATGAGATTTTTTATACCTATACTCAGTATATTTGAACACTTTGATGCCACATACATTTTTGATAAATAATCGAAAAGCTCATTAAAAAGTTACTATAGTTGGCCATGGTTCCTTATTTCATGGAAATTTTTGACTTCATTCATGAAACATCCAGTGAAAAATACTATATGTATATGCGAGTGTATATGTGAATGAAACGAGAGCTGAAAGTTTTTTAACAGTATTTTATGTGAAGAGGCTCATCTAGGGTTATTCAAAAAACACTTGGATAAAAAAATTATCTATTATGAAATATTGACGATTAACAGAATGCTAACAATTAAATTATCAAATCTTCTTAATGGTTCAACTAGATTTCCATTTATGAGAATGCAGGTCTTCAAACAGCGAGCAAAACGGTCAAATGTTGATTCAAGTACATACAGGGTCTTTGATTATATTTAGGCCTATACCCACAGCCTTTACTAATTAAGATGAAAATAGTACATTAAAATACAAGTTTCATAAGACGTCATTTTATCGCACGAGCCCTATATTAGAAAACGAGCCGGAGGCGAGTTTTCTAAAGGGCGAGTGCGATAAAATGTCTTATGAAACGAATATTTTATACTATTTTTTCTATTTTGGTATTGTTTAATTAAAAAAAAACAAATTTTTCTTGGAAATTTTATTCTCATATTTCCTGATTTCATATGTTTAGGTTGGTAACACTACATGCCAAATATAGAAATCTTCTATTATTCATTGATTATAAAATCATGAATGACAGTTCGATGGCCATCAGTCAGCTAGTGTTACCAACCTCCGATAAGTAAAAAAGGAGTGTCACAAAGAGCTTCTTTTCGAAACTACTTTCAGTGTCGAAAAGACTTCGATATGAAACCAAAATAGAAAATAGTACATTAAAATACAAGTTTCATAAGACGTCATTTTATCGCACGAGCCCTATATTAGAAAACGAGCCGGAGGCGAGTTTTCTAAAGGGCGAGTGCGATAAAATGTCTTATGAAACGAATATTTTATACTATTTTTTCTATTTTGGTATTGTTTAATTAAAAAAAAAAACTTTTCTTGGAAATTTTATTCTCATATTTCCTGATTTCATATGTTTAGGTTGGTAACACTACATGCCAAATATAGAAATCTTCTATTATTTTTTATCGCGAATGACAGTTCGATGGCCATCAGTCAGCTAGTGTTACCAACCTGCGATACGTAAAAAAGGAGTGTCACAAAGAGCTTCTTTTCGAAACTACTTTTAGTGTCGAAAAGACTTCGATATGACACCAGAATAGAAAAAACAAATTATATACAAAATTTGACACGATTTTTCTATTTTTTAATGTTATCAGAAGAAACAAAATCGCATTGGAAAATGGAAAAACCGAGGGAAAAACGTAGACAAATTCAACTTTTTTTAATGGATCACTCTGTATATTATGCGATAAAATGAAAAATATTTTTTTCCTGATTCCAAATATATAAACTGATCACATTTGTGTGAGTCATACGTTTTTTTTTCAGATTTGAAAAAAACCGTTTTTTTTTTGTTTTTTTTCCAAATGATTCAAATGTAAAAAAGCAGGTATTTTCCAGATTTGAAAAAAAAACATGAAAAAAAACTACCTAGTTTTTGTGTTTTTTTTTCAAAATAATTCAATTTTAAACTTCGTGAGTATCTCCAACCTCATCTTTAAGTAAAAAAAAAACGGACATTTGAGCACCCTGGAGACGTAGTTACAGACTGAAAATTCTTCATACAGCGAAAGTGTCTTATATCAGTGATGTTCTGTTCTAGTATGCAGTGTCATTACTTAAGTGTGCAACATATGGGATTTTTTTTTAGTAATAGCACAATCAAAATAACAACAAGGCCAAAAGTTGGTGCATGTCTGTTAATCATATTAGGTGCACTTAGAATGGTTGCAAGTCAAACAGCATACAGGGTAGCTCAAAAAATATCAAAATTGTAGAAATATTTACTTAAATGAAATAAAACTTTTGCACTGTATATGTTGTATGAATATGATGAATGTATGATAGTTCATACATGGATGTACCATGTACCTGACCTGAAAACATGTTTCATTTACATAAGAATAGGCCTGTTTCTGCAGAAATCACAAACCACTCAGAGTGAATTTCATTGGTTGAAATTAGTTTTCTGACTGTTTTTGACTGTTTTCAACCAATGAAATTCGCTCTGACTGGTTTGTGATTTTTGCAGAAACAGACCCAATATTGTTCCTATGTTATTTCTATATAGAATAAGGCAATATTTTACGTTTTATCCATATTTCACTGCTTAAACCAATTTTTTGTTCCAAGAGAAGTTTAATTGGCAAAAAAAGTAAAAAATGCGCATATGGTGCTAAGTTTAGAAAAAAAACACAAAATCTGAAAAAAAACCATTTGAAAAAAAAACCATGAAAAAAAACCATTTGAAAAAAAAACAAAAAAACGGATTGTTTTTTTTCACGTTACATCTCTACTTCAACCATTCTTGGTAATAATATGAAGAGGTGAATGTGGACATTGAACTTCCTCATCTTCCTCAATATTTCATACAAAGTGTTAGGCTCGGTGTTAGGTATCTTTTTTTGTTATAAAAATTTGTTGTTAAAATTTAAAATGTTTAAAAAAAATTGCAAAATCTCTAAATTACAACCGAAAAAATTGATCTGACAACATTTTCACCTTCAAATTTTTCAGGTAAATTACATAAGTATGTCAATTTAATTCTGACAAATTGTTAACGGGATATTTTCAGTGTTGCCAATTTTAATAAACATTAAAATGTCAAAGTCAAAGTCAAAAATAGCTTTATTGTCTTAAAACAAAATGTTGCTGACAAAGCCGTACTAAAATAAAGTCTAAAACTAACACTAAAATTAAAAATTAAAACATTACTCAGTTAAAACAGAGAATAAATGAACAAAAAACAGAAAAAACAAGTCTTTACCAACGCATGAAACACAGACAAAAATATAAAATCTCGTACAATACGCAACGCAAAAATATAGAAAAAAAAATAAAAATAATAACATTCGCTTTTTTCACATATAAAAGTTGACTCATTACAAAAGAAACGATACCAAACATACATTGCCACTCGCTGTCAAAAACAAAGGTCCAATATTCCTCAACCAGTTACTATCCTTTCATTAAAATATTCTTCGAGACTATAGTATGCTTTATCAATCAAAAAAGCCTTAACCTGTTTCCTAAAACTTTTGTAGCATCCAAGGTTTCTTATTTCAATAGGGTACTTGCATGGAAAATTAAATTGATTATTGTTTATTGCAAACTGTAGGAAATCGAAAAAAAATCGTTACTTTTTTTTCATTTCGCCCAAATATGATTATTTCGGAAGTTATACAAATATTAAGTTTTGTATATATAGATATACTGAGCATGTGCGACGTCATAAAGTATTATACCTGATGACGTCATAGGCATATTTCATAGCGTTGTATCTCCGTCAATTTTTGACTAAGAAGAAAAAGAAAAAACACGTGTTGACTTTTTTTTCATGGACTATCGAAATCAGCAATAAAAAAATTTGATGCAAGGGGCCTATTGGAAGATGATTGAAAAGTTTTTTACCTTCATATATAAATGATTTTTTTACCAGTTGGGAATGAGGTATGGACATGCCGAGAAGAAACGACTGACGAGTATTATAGTGTTCATCCGCCTCCCTCTCAGCCCCGTATTTCCTGAACATCATGCACACCGTTTCCATTATAAACATCGAATAAAGCGTAAGGATAGCATGACTGATAAAAAGAGGGCAACAGGAATCACGAGTCCTTACTCTGAATATACAACGGACTGCCCTCTTCTGAAGCAGAAACACTGAATCAAAAAGTGAACGGGTGCAGCAACCCCAAAAGCTTAGGCCATATCGTAGGTGAGATTCCACCAAAGCGTAGTATGCATTTTTAGCAACCGAGACATCCAAACTCCTTGATATCACTCTTAAGGCATAACATCCTGAAGAAACCCTTTTACAGAGATTAGAAATGTGATCGTCAAACTTGAGAGACTTATCAATTGTGAGGCGCAAGAATTTGCTGTGGTTTTGTGGAGTTACAGGATTATCCTCTAGGTAAACACTCTCCAGTTCGCATTTGAAGTTTAAAACATTGGTTTTCGAAACATTAAAAGACAATAAATTGGAGTCGCACCAGTCCTTCACCATCCTCAAATCTGCATTAATGTCATTATTCAGTTTCTCCACATCTGAGCCGTGCCACAAGATTGTCGTATCGTCCGCAAAAAGAGTAAACTTTCCTGAAATTGGGAGTTGGGGCAAATCGTTGACATAAATCAGAAAAAGAATGGGTCCCAGCACAGATCCCTGTGGGATTCCAACAATGATGTTCATGCGTTCTGACTCACCATCCTGAAATCTTACGGTCTGCGATCTACCCGACAAGTAGGAGCGAAACCACCTCAAAGCACCACCCCGAAAACCATACCGCTCAAGCTTCCACAGTAGTATCTCGTGATTCACACAGTCAAACGCCTTGGAGAGGTCACAAAAGACTGCCGAGGCTACCTCTCCACCATTCAACTGCTTATAGAGTAGCTCAAGGAAACTGAAAATGGCACCGCCAGTGCCAATCCCCTCTCGAAAACCGAACTGTTGGGCGCTCAGGAGTCCAAGTCCACCGAGAAAGGCTAACATCCTTTATTTTTCTGGGGTTCCTTGAAGGGTCCTCCACCACCTTGTTTTTACACAATTTTCTGGTCACCCTTATATACATATTTGGAATCAGGGCCCGGATCCCGAACCCATAATTCGATAGTATCGTATATGTAATTTATATGGACGATACTATCGAATCGTGAGTTTGGGATTCGGGTCCAGGATTCATAGGTGATATTATTAGTAACAGAGACATGAAGTAGAATATCTCATACTCGATCTCGTAAAAGACAATCTAAGTCTTTATTTAAACAATTCAATCTGTTATACTATTAGTTAGACTTTGCTATTAATAGGTACATTCATTAAGGTGGTATGGCCAAGGTCAGCTTTACTTTTTTTTTATTTAGTATTGTTGTTTGCTTGTGTTTAATGTTACAAGATTCAGAGTTATCGTAAAGGATTGCATCACCTATTAGAATATTGAGCTGATAAGAGCTTATAATAGGTACATGATACATGTTTTTTTTTTTAATACCTACTATTGGCAACATTCAGAGATAAGGAGATAAATCCTAATCATAATCTTCACTCATGTTTATAAAACTGATATTGAATATTTAGCTTTGCATATCAGCCAAATCTAGAAATGCTTTCCTTCCCAAATAATCAGGTACCACTGCAAGTATTTACTTAGCGTCTATCAATAGTTTAATACTTATATCCTATTCACACTCCGTAGTCCAAAGGTAAAGGTAAAATTTATCACCTTTCAGTGCTATTTGATAGGGAAAGGTGATAAATTTACCCATCGGATTGTGAATAGATAATAAGTGTGTTTTTTTTAATTTAATTAAATGGAATTATTGTAAAATTCATAGTTGTTTTAATACCGAGTTTAATACATACATACGCGCAAAAAAATTTCAAGTCTATACTGTTGTGATTGATGAAATATTTTTTTAGATTATCGCAACACTATTCAAATAATCTTGAAATTATGCATATTTGATGTATAATAACATAATACCTAATAACGCTAATACCTAATAAAATGACAGGATCAACATCACCTCAAAATTATTTAATTTCAAACATTTCAGAAATGGAATTATGGAAATTTTTTTGCTAATCAAGCTTACTTATTGTAGGATTTTCTAACACCTGATTATATTTTCAGATAAACTATGCAGTGATAACTTGTACAAGGATTCCTGTGAACAGGTTGAACGGGATCAAGATATTAAATGTCAGGAAGTATTGTCAAAGACTGAATGTATTTTGGATATTGACAGAGGACTACCTACATTGAGTATTTTAAATGCAGAAGAAGCATTTTTGGCCGCTCCGCTGGTATCATCAACTACCACAGTTTTTGGTGAAATTGTACCAGGTAAATATTTAGTTTTTCAGTAACTGATTGTTGGTCCTCATAATAATGATGTCCAATCTTATTATTATTCAGCAAACACCCCATACCAAACCGCAGTCGTTGTTAGATCAGGTTATTTGGGAGGCTTTGAGCCTTTAAGAGGGCTAAAATACTGCCATCCTGGTTACAACCATGACGAACGTATCACAAAGTTTGTTTTGGAGCAACTTGACTGGAAAGCCATCAATCTTTCTTGTGACACCGCTAAAACTTTGACGGAACAAAAATTTCAGGCTCTGTCTTCACTGTTTGGAAGCTCTTGCCGTCCTGGAAAGTGGTCTCAGGATGATACTTTGGATTCCAGACTTAGTAAGTATTTATTCAGGAATTTCTCATAAATCTATATTATAATATTTTGTAGAAAAAGATTTTCCTTCTTTATGTGAGCTTTGTGGCACCGATGGATGTGCAACTACATACAATATTCCTTTGAACGACACTTTGTCATGTCTGACTGATAATGGAGGTGACATAGCTTTAACAGCTCTAAGATATGCTGACACCTTCTTTAGCATTGGTGCTAACGCCCAAAATTTCCAATATTTATGTCCTAATGGTACTTTAGCGCCATCTTCCAACCCATGTACATGGACTAATCAATTAAACAGGCTTTTAATAACTTCAAAGTAAATTAATAAATTATTTATTGGATTTATTGAATAGTAATATATATTTGTTTTAGTGAAAGTGCCCATGTAATGACAAATTATGTAAAAGGCAAATTGGGTACATATTTGATGTCAGATACACCTTCCAGCTCTTCCAGTGTTTTTGAAGCTCATTTTGCTCGTCTGTTGCAGCTTAGCAGATCAGATCAGATTAAATTAGTTGATCCTATACCTTTGTACAATTATGTTTCAGGTAAGAAACTAAATTTCTTTTGGATGCTGTGGGCAACCTTTTTTTTTTGTAGAACGAAGAACTATTCCACTTGTCAATGAAAGCATCCAATGTGGACTTACAGTAAACTGGTCAGTTACAGCAGAAATAGAAAAAAATAAATGCATTTGGCTGCAACAAGCTAGCTTAAATAATGGCTTGCAACCTGTTGTTTCATGTGTTTTGAGCTTGGACAATGATACAGTTTCCAATTTAGACAATATTAAACAGGGGAAAGCTGATCTAGCATTCACTAATGCTAATTTTGGATATGTTGCTAGAAAGTGAGATAACAACGTTAACGTCTTCGAGAATATTTTATTAACTTACTTAATGTATTGCTTCCAGGAAGCAATTGATCAATATAGCGTATCCAGAGACACACATGCAACAATTATCAAAAATCGTTATTGTTGTGAGAAATGATACTACCTGGTTCAAAAATTTTACTGATCTTAAAGGACGGCCAATATGTCTTCCTGAATATGGCGGAAAAGGTAAGGTACTTGGTACTTATCACTTTAAATAACATTTCTAATTTTTGTTTTAATAGAATGGCTTTCCTTTATCGATTTGCTTCGTTCAAACAATGTTGTCAACAATAGCTGTGAATATGGAAAAATCTTTAGCGAGTTTGTTGGACAATCATGTGCTCCTGGTGCCAACTCAAAGGATCTTGGTATTTCCAATACAGACGTGGACAAATTATGTTACACATGTTATTCAATAGATGCAACACAACGTAATAGAACTAATTTATTTTAAATTTTTAAATTGTTTGATTTTGCTTTTCAGCTGCAAGATATTGCAATGCTGATCCACTAAACAAATTTTATGATAGTTTGGGAGCTTTAACTTGTCTGAAGGAGGCTAGTGGTGACTATGCTGTTATTGATTTGAATGGTAAGTAGAAATAATACAGCGATACTTATGCCTACATGATATATCACACAATCCATACAAATAATGTGTTTATAAAGTACATTTTTTTGTTCGCACATTTAGAGGTTGACTAATAATCGCCATATCGCAACTCAACTACTGCAAAACTCAAATATGCATTTTTCAACAAATTATCTTTTTTCAGATTTACCCTATTTCTATAGTTTCAAACCATCTGGTCATCAAGAATTTACAGTTATTGCCAAAAATGGATCTTTGGCATCCTACAATGGCTTTAATGTAGACGAAGATGCATTAATTTCTATAATTGTGGCTGGTGAAGTTATTGTGAAAAATGGAACAGCAAAATTCAACGATATTCAATTGTATTTGAGGGAAATTGAACAAGATTTTGCTTTGAATTTGAAAAAGTCGTTTAAACTTTTTGAAGAATTTAATCATACTAAGAATGTACTTTTTCCCGTAAGTACCTTTAACACGTTTTGATAGTGACATGTTTAAAATTTTATTTCTTTTTTTAGGACTCCACTCCAGGACTTACTTTCAGCGATTCTGGAAACAAGTATATTCAGAATTACAGGACTCTTCTAGAACATTCCGAAACATGCAGTGCTGATAATAACACTACTGGTGGATCAGACAGACTCACGGTTCCTGTATTTTTTGCAGTATTTATTTTAACTGTATTAGTTCGTTTGGTTTAAGGAAGTGTTTCCAAGTTCAATATGCTTTTATTTTGGATTGAATTTGTCTTTTGAATAGCCATTACTATTTTTATCAAGAGAGAAAATTCGATCTCTAAAAACAGTGTCCATTTTCAAGGCTGTGCTATTAGTGAATACGGGAGCATATCATATTGCATTTCAATGCCTTAAAGTGCTGAAGTACAAAGAAATAATATTTTGCAGCTATTCCTAATGTTTTTGATCCATATAGTTTATTTAATGTTAAACTAAATTTAATTAGATAGTCGAAACGCAGTATTTTTGTAATAAGTAGGTACTAGAAATAGTTGCAATAAGATAGCTTTGTTTTAGTTCGAAATTTGGAAGGGCTCTGGAATTGTGCAGAACTGCTTGCGCACAAAAAATAATGGAGGACTGTTCTAATACTAATTGTGAACCGATTCGGTACCAAAAAAACCAAAACAAGCTGCTTATCACAAAATTCCAAAACAGTTCCTCTTTCAGAGCAAAAACTAGGAGAACCGTTCTAGAACAATCCCAGAATCGTTCTTATATAGTTCTAAATAAACCAAAATACTGTCAGTCAACACAGTTCAATTACAATTCTGAAAAAACGCAAAAGCGTTTTATAATGTGCACACATGCAGAATAATTCCGAACTGGTTCTGAGTGAAACCAAAACAAAGCAAATGTTGCATTTGTTAAGCAACTATTTTTTTTCTAAATATTTACTCAGAATTTGTAGTTTTATATCTGTATGATTTATTTTCAAATAAATATTCGTTTTTTTTTTTTAAATTTCAACTTCTTTGTTTTTACTTTCATCTATTGTTGTTCTCTAAAAATCTATAAAAATAAGTCAACAACTTGTAAAAGACCCTTGTCTTTAATGAAACAAATGACGCTTTCACATAATTAACAATATATTCAAAACGAAATTTATATCAATCAACTGACTCGCACAGTGATATTAGCCTGACTGCTCAAAAATCATTTGTTCCTATCTTCAGCACATAGCGATGACTCCTTATGAACCCTTTTTTTTTGTTGTTTTGTTTTTCTAAGCGCTGACGCATATTTTCGGTTGATCAAAGCCAAGAAGGGAAAATATTCTTTACACTCGGCCCTTCCTAACATTTCACGTCCTCAAGAAACTGTCTTCTATGGCCTTCCTATAAAAACAAACAAAAAAACAAATTAAACAATTACATTTACTGTGGAGCCCACTTTAGCTCATTTTAGTAGACTTCTTCATCAACATTGCCCGAGTGAACATCACAGATTTTTGATGCATGACTAGACTTTTCCAGGGCATCATCAACCTTTACGGATGCATCATCACTGGTATCTTCTGACCACTCAGACGATCTGATAACTATTTTAAACAGCTTCAGTTTGTCTGAGGTACAGATTCCTCTATACGCTTTACGCGATCTTTTCGGGCCAGGCATATCTTCAATTACATAACGATCGTTCTCTAAAGTTTTTGTGATCACAAATGGCCCATGATAATTCTGCTCAAGTATTTTACTTTTTTCATCATTCGAACCCTTGGCCCGAAGAACAACAACTTTTTGCCTAACCTGAAACTTTCTCGGTTTAGCATGCCTCGCATGATAGTAAAACTTTTGCATTTGCTGATGCTTTTCAGTATTCTCGACTTTTTGAGTCCTTATTTCCTCCAATTTCTGTGGCTCCGATTGGGAGACCTCATGGACAAGAAATGAATCATCTATATGGAGGGTATCCATTGGCTCGTTTTTCTTGTGAAAACTGTACAGACTACCTTGCGTTTTACCCGAAGCAGGCTAGTACATAGAAAAGTGGGCTAGTATGTCATTTCTGACATATTTTCGCATACTCGTAAACCAATAGTGGTTTTTCAGCGCCTCTAGTGTCTTCGTCACAGCCAAATGTCCCGCGCCATCATAGTAACACATCACAAGGCGTCGTCTAGAGCTTTTGGGTACTACCCATCGCAATCCTTGCTCTGTTTTACGATAAACGCGATTATTTTTCAATGCGAAATTTTTAGAAATTTCTCTATCACTGGCATCTTACGGTGTAGTAGTTAAGACGTTGTGTATTTGACGACAGTTTTCGTCTTCTAGCTGCATTGCTAAAATCCACTTGTCCTCATCTATATGGAAGCATTTGAACTGGAAGCTATGGCTACTTTCGATAGGGTTCCGGCTCAGGGCATCCACATGATTAATTTTACTTTCCAGCCAATACTGAATAGTTAAGTCATATTCTTGAGTGGCCAACCACAACGAGCTATTCTTGGAACTAGATGTTTCTTAGTGAGTGTAGTACGAAGTGCGTTACAATCTGATGCAACTATGAATGGTTTTCCAATAAGATAAACTCTAAATTTTTGAAGGGAATTGACTACTGCTAAAGTTTCCAATTCATAGGAATGGTAATTTTGCTCAGGTTCCGTCGTTGCTCGGCTAAAATATTGGACCGGTCTTAGACTACTATCTTTCTGTCGTTGGAACAAAATTCCTCCGATGCCCCATTTGCAGGCGTCTGTGTGCAGTTCAGTTTCTGATTGATGGTCGTATATGGCCAATACTGGACGGGTAACCAATTTTTGTTTTAATTTTGTGAAGGCATTTTCTTCATCCTCACCCCAAGTGAAATATATATTTTTCTTCGTTAAATTTGTTAAAGGTTTAGCAATAAAAGCAAAGTTTTTGATAAATTTTCTAAAGTAACTGGCGAGGCCTAAGAAACGTCGAAATTCATGCACGTCTCGTGGTCGAGAAAATTCAGAAACTGCAATTATTTTGTAAGTCCCTGGGTCGAGTTCCAGTTTTGTCAATTTTAAAACCCAAATATTCTATTTTTTTACCTTATTGCGACATTAGCAGTTTTAAATAATTCGAGTACTTTTTCAAGTAGTTGAAGTCCAGTTGCAGTATCGACCGAAGGCAGTAGGTAAGTCGTCATCAAGGTAGGCCATCACCGAAGTAAATCGCAATGAACCCAAAATCGCGTAAATAGTTCGCTGGAAAACTGCTGGTGCATTTACTAGTCCAAAAGGCATTCTCAAATACTCGTAATGCCCGTCAGTTGTTACGAAGGCTGTTTTGGCAATTGAATAATCGGCAACAGGGATTTGATGATAGACAGAGGCAAGATCCAAGCTTGTAAAAAACTCGCATCCATTCAACCTATCCAATAGGTCATCAATGCGTGGCAAAGGAAATTTTTCTTTGACTGTTTTCCTATTCAATGCACGATAATCGACGCACATGCGCTCTGCGCCATTTTTCTTCTTTACCAACAACATAGAACTTGCGTATGGTGATTGTGATTCTTGAATAATTTTATTTTTTTAGGAGATTGTCGAATATCTCCTGTACTTTTACACGCTGTGTATATGACAATCGGTAAGGTCGATACGTTATCGGTTTGTCTTGTCATCCATCACCTTTATTGATATTTTGGTCATTTTACAAGTACCTAATTCGATAGTTTTACTTGCAAAGCAGTTACGATATTTATTTAATAAATCTAGTAAACTCAACTTTTTTTCTTTAAAAATATCGGAATCAACGTGCGTATTCGTCCAGATCTTTTAATTCAATTCAAATGGCTTTAAATCGGTTCTTCGTTCTTCGAACAGATAAACAAGTTTCGGTTGTAATGTCTGCTCGTTCTGAACATGATAGACCTCTAACAATAACAGAATTTTCTTTAAATTCAATGCAATTCTCAGAAACATTCATTACAGGCGCAATACACCGGCGTTACACTTTGTAATGCAGCGGGGTATTACATAAAACCTTCCTGGAACGCTTCGGTAATGAATATCCTCGCATAGTAACTTTTCTGGCTGGTAAAGTCTCTATTTCTGGCAAAACCCATTCGTTTGCATTGAAAAGACGAACTTGTGAATCAGTGGCGGCTCGTGGTGTCCAAGTAAGTGTGGGCAACAAAAATAAAAAACAGTCGTGAGCAATTTTTTTTTCAGATTTTCAAGGTCGCGGCGTTTTCAAATATTGTATTGAAAGTATTTTTTATTTTTACATTTTTTCTCCAGGGTGGCGGTGCCCACCTTGCCCATATGGGCGAACCGCCACTCTTGTGAATTACGAACGATAGTAACAACGCTAGGATCATTCAGAAACGGCTATCCTATAATAAGAGCAACTTTTTGATACTCGTCGGGTACCACAAAAGCCGCAACATTTGCGACAGCCAAGTCAACCGTCAGATTTAGCTCAACTTTTGAGGTGACGTTAACAAAACCTCCACCAAAACCACATAAACGTACGCTAGCAGGTTCCTTTTGCAATTTTAGCTTAATTACTTCAGACTTTCTGTTAGTATTTACAGTATTTACACTGAAACCAGTGTAGCAAAACGCCCCAAGTACTCTATTTAATTAGTTAGATGGTAAATGGCGAGCGGTTTGATGGTGTTTATTTCCTTGGAGCTGCTACCTATAAAACTGTGGAAGGGTCTATTTGCAAAAGAGAGAAATAAACTATTGAGGTTTACTAAATTATATTTTATTATACATAAAACCCAAAAATTTAAATCAGCAAAATATCTTCCAATTCTGTCAGCCTCATCTATTTTGCTAAATTCAATTACTTCACATCCGTTCAATATGTCATTATAACGGACCGCTGAAATATCCATACAAATAAAGAAACGCCCTATTCCTACTATTCCTAACAACTTATAAGTTAACTCATTTCATCACTTCCGATTCATTCCTATTAAACTACCCTTCACCTATTTCTATAAATTCTTTAAAATTTTCAAGTCCTTTACTGACTGCTTATGAAAAACCCAAAATAATTACCTATTTGTTTATTAATATAGGTATTACTAACTTATTCTTATAAACCTTACAATAATTTCTACATGAAATTTAAAAACCCTAATTCAAAATTCATTTCATGAACAATAAGTTTCCTTTAACAACTTTCCAATATTTTAAGACAACAATTCTATTTCATGAACATCAAGTTTCTTTTTTTTTTTTTTTGTGGATACACTCTACAAACACCGTTAAGTAATTAGATGTAGAGGAGGAAACATTCACAAATACAACCATGCACCTTGCCGGGACTTGAACCCGGGACCATCGGCATGCGAAGCAGATCACTATCCACTACGCTGCCTAGGTCGGCAGTCAAAGTTTCCTATTCTATTTAATAGTTTATTTAGTCCGAACAAATTCTTTTTCGGATTCCTAGCCTAGCTAATAAACCCAACTGTTTAATTCATAATTCCTACTCAAAATTGTATATTGTTAAGGTGCAATATAAATTCCCTTCATATTTTCTTTGCACAATTGAATTAGAATGTCATTATATCTGAAGGCAATTAAAGTCATGCAATAATGTTCCATAGTCAAAACACTCGAGTTATTAATAGGTTCGTTCCAATCCAGCCAAAAACCGTTCAATGTATGGTCACGGTCATGCGCCATAGGCTAAAGGCGTTCCAACCGAGAGATAATCGTTTACCGTACAGTTTCGTTGGCGTTCCAACCAAACCTGGGATCGTTCGAGAACTGGTTTTAGCACCGTCACTTCGATCCCGAGTGGAAAGCAAGAACCGCGTGGACTGATTCATGACTGACATGCGTAATTCAATTTTTGTCACCTGTTGTTGTTAACCAATTTCCAATCTAACTTATAAAACTGTAGCATTTTTATTTTTTCAAGTGAGAAAAAGTACAAAATTTATTATCAGCTATTTGCTAATCCTTGATGTTATCAGCTTGCAAGGATTCAGTTTCAGATTCTTGATAATGAATCAGCGTTGGTGTTCGATTTTCCTTTTTTATATATTATTTTGTAATCCTAATCCTATATTTTTCTATTTTAATTTGCAAACAAACAAATTTAGGGTTAAAGTTATTTGAACTGTCGTCATTACAAAAACGATCATGAAACCGTTCCAACTACCCCGTTGTTTCTGTACCAAGATAAAATCGTGCAAGGTCAACGCATGCGCCTGCAATCGATCCTAACAGTTCCGAAACCGTTTCATGACGATACGAAAACGGGGGGTTGGAACGAACCTAATATTTATGCAATAAAGTTCCAAAGTTAATTATAAAGTCAAAAAGTTTTTCTAGTAAAAATCACTCAAGTTTTTAGGCATTAAAAGTCATTGTTAATTCACTTCTTATCATTCAGAATCATTGATAAAAGTCAGAAAATTATTAACCACTAAAGTACTTACATTTAACTTTTCACACGTAAAATTACTTAATTAATTACTCAAAATTTTCTAGAGCCCGCACATAAGTTGAACGAATTTCAAGTGTTATTTCTTTCACAATTTTCCGTACTTTTTCTAAGTTAAATCGAAAGCGTTTTCCCCGAGGCCTTAATAAGAACTTTTCGCGATTTTCCACCCGACTGACTCATTATAGGTACTGTAGACTTTAACTCAAACTGGACTGGACTGCTAACAATTGGCAACTCAACTGACAACTGCCATCCACTTCTAAAACCGCGGTATTTATATTTTTTGATTCCCCCGCAAAGTATTATTAATTATCCCCCAAAATCGTCAATAGGCGGTCGTTTGACCATCAATAAGACCCATTGGCCGACCTAGATATTATCGAAAATAATGATGAAATCTCCTTGAAATTTTTGTCATCTTTATATGTTTAAAAATCGAATAATTATATCGCAATATCCTGATTTATCGGGGTCAAATATATTGGTTCAAGAATGCCATAAATCATTCGATTTAATTATTTGGCCTCGCTAAAAAAGTTCATTGATCGGTAGAGATGTAAAATACAGTTACTTCTGATTACTCCTAACTATTCGTTACTTTTCAGTAATGTACTCGTTACTAAATATTCGTTACTCAAATACTCGTTCTGACTGGAATATATTATTGAATCTGGTCGAAGGTTGAATAAACAAAAATATGTATGATGATAATATTTATTATAATATTATTTGGTATAGTCCGACAAATACCATTTTAAAGTCACGTGATACTGGTGGCAAAAAACGTATGTCCATTGATTATGTCGTTGATATCACCTACAAAAAGCTACTGGTGGTTAATTACTATTGAATTTTAATATGTGTTCCCACTAGCATTTTACAAACGCGTTTCTGAAGTAGTGTTGACCAATCAGAGGGCAATTTTAATACTTGCAATTGTTGCGAGACTCATTTTTGTCACATCTGCTGTCTGTTGTAATACATTCTGAACTTAAACTGGGTACCCGTTTTCTATTTGCTTTTTTTCGAGTTGGAAAAAGGTTAATATGGTCAAAATTATTAGCTGTGTTTGTTTGTTGTATTATTTTCGAAAATAACTTTGACAAACTAATTGATGACAGTGACGGATTCTATTTCAGGTAAGAATATTATGAACAATAATTAGACAGCAATTTTTTTGTCAATTTTATTATCACCGCTGTTTGAAGTGTATTCAACAAGGATAGAGAAAAATCACGTGACTTTAAAATGGTATTTGTTGGACTATATAAGCTTGGTGCGCAATGCGCATAGAGAATTTCGATTCGAGTACTCAAATAACTATAGCGCCGGCGATTTTTGTATTCGTTATTTCGGATCCGGGCAAGTAACGAGTACTCGAGTGACGAATAGTTACTTTTCTGACACCTCTATTGATCGGATGTTAGGATGACATCACGATGGAGGAAATAATATAATTTCGAATGTATTTGGGGTCGCGTTAATTTGTTCCACTTTCAATTTATCGATACTGATTTGGAAATAGGTACCGGAAATTCAGTTTTTGATTATTTGATATTATTTAATTTTTACAGTAAAGACTTTGTGATTTCCGGGTCTATTTTCTGGATCATTACACCAGAATCTACATAACCTCGCAAATCTTGACAGTATTATTAAAATTATTATTACCTTCTTGTTTTGATGAGTGACTGCTGTCTATCAGTAGGCAGTACGTTTCATCTTGGAGAAACAATATTCATCTTCGTGTCCCACGCGGTTACATTTAGTGCAAAACTTTTTTGCTTTGGACATTTCGTAAATTCGTGCCCTTTTTCATGGCAATTGAAGCATTTAACCCCACTTGTATCCCGTGTTGCACTATCCTTGCTTAGTTTTCAAAACATTCCGCAAATCTGCCCTGGGCTTATGAGAAGAAGAAACTTTTTCTTCGTTTTTATTACTCATTTTTTGTTAAGTCTCAGCTAACGCAAACAAATGTCCCTCATAAAGGGCTTCAGGATTGTCGTAGCGTTCCGTCTTAGCAGAATTTTGAATAACCGGGTCGTCAATCCCATCAATAATACAAGAGACATTCTTTTTTTGTGTAATTTCACAAATTCTGAACTGTGACAAAATCAATATTTTCCGGAAAATTTCCACCCTTCCCATGTATAGTTATAATACGGCAGGCTATGGTACCAACTTATGGCCATACCTGTCAAACGGGTCTGCATGTGATAAATTTCATTCCATCCATTGATTTGCTTCATTTGTTCGATTTTCTCCAGCCACTGACGAATTCAAATAATGTATCTAGTAAAGGGTTGAGTAGAATAGTTGATCCTCATGGAAATTGTTTCCGTCTCCAAATCAAATGAACAAGTGTCAGAAAGTGAGTGAAGTAAGTGCGGCAACAAGTGAAACTAATAATGATAAAAATTTAAGACCAGAGAGTAGCAAAAGTAGTGCTAAAACTCGATCTGGGCATACAGTAGGTAACCTTATAAAACCTGGATTTAGGGAATAGGTTTGAGCTCTAGACATTAATGTATTTTAGCAATTTTTGGTTTTACCTTATGATTTTAGTTCTTCAGTTAATAAAACAACAGTTTTTAGTGACAAAAAAGCATATTTATATTAGATTAGATCTGAACCTATTAAGTTGTAATATAGATGTAGGATGGACATTTATTTAAAAAGTTGTAAAAGGTTCTTGAACAAATTTTTCCCAGTACTTGCTCCAAGATATCATTCTTTCCTTTTGTGGATTTACCATGACTGATAAATTTTTATCAATATTAAGTAAATAGGTAAATTCTGGAGTACTTCTTGGCAACATTACATTATCAAGTAGTGGAGTTTCTTCAGGAGCTAAGTCCCTAAAATTATTTTTCATACAAAGATGATGGCATCATTTTATACATACATGTAACACTTACAAATATGTTGCAAAATTAGCCCAAAGCTTAGCAAACTTTCTGCGAACTAAATCATCTTCCTCTGTTTTCAAAGGATATTGAGTCATGTTGAAAAGGTATGAAAGCTCACTGAAATGTCCAACTTTTCCAGCTCCTAGAAATATTATTAAATATTGATAAAGCACTGGTAAATATCGAATATGTATATCAACCGTCTACGAGATAATCTCGTGTCTCACTAGTGGTTCCATAAAACGAGAATCGATATGCATATACTTTTTGAAATTTACTCTGCAATTGGATTTGCTTCAAGCTCGCTCTAACAAATTCGTTATCGCTGTAATACTAAAAATATCTCTATAGTTAAATTGGATAAACTCTATATTTTTTGGGAAAAATTACCCCAAGGAACTTGGCAAGATTATCTTGAAACTGCTCACGACCACTTAAATATATATTTTTAATAAAATCACATGCTTCCAAAATATCAACATTATTTTTCAACTCAGTTTGTGCTGGTAGCAACATCGTCATATTTCTGTCATATAATTTTGCCAAAGGGAGCAACTTTTTCTGGCTAATAAATGCTAGTGATTCTTCAGAATTGGTTCCTATCAAAAGAGCTTCACCATTTATCTTACCACTTTCCACAAGTCCATAAAGTGGCTCTTTTAAAAAAGCTCCATCGCTTGGGGGTTCCAAAACTGGAACAAACTATTTAATTTTGATAAACATGTTCGAAGATTTATTTTGGAACTTACAAGATGTTGGTCAACTTGCAAAGCGTAACTCATCAATGTCTTAGGCTCAACATCAACTAGAAAGCTCCTTAATTCTTCTGTGGAATTGGCTTCAGTAATATTTGGATTTATAGAGTGTGTGTAATTATAAATAAATGATTTTGGATCTAAGGATAACGTGGTACTTAATGTACATCCACTATGACAAATAGCAGCTCGGAAAAGTCCTTTCGATTTTTCGCTGACCAAATGCAATCCCACAGACATCCCACCAGCACTTTCTCCAAATATCGTAATCATATTAGGGTCGCCACCAAAATATTTAATATTACTTTTAGTCCATTGTAATGCTAAAAGTTGGTCCTTCAAGCCAGCATTTCCCGGTATTACATGGTCGCCAGTAGATAGAAATCCAAGAGGACCTAGTCTGTAATTAAAGGTGACCACAATTACTTTTTCATCGATGAGATTTTGTGGGCCGTAGAATCTGAAAACGCCACTGCCAGCTCGAAAACCACTGCCAGCTCGAAAACCACCACCATAGATCCAGAACATAACTGGTAGATTTGAGGATATCTATGGAATGAAAATTAAAATAATATTTTTTAGGTACAAATAACCCTCTGAGCAAATAACTTACATTTAGATCAGGTGTATACACAGATATATAAAGACAATCTTCATCTTGTACTCCAGGATTTGGATAAAACGAAAAGGAGTTCATATAAATACAAGAATTTCCTTCTTGAGTACCATCTCTGATTCCTGTCCATGATTTAGCCGGCTCAGCAGCCTAAAATAATAAATTCAAAATGTACATTTTGTATACATCAGATTTTGCGGCGCGGCAGTTACTAGTTACTTACCTGAAACCTGTTGCGACCCAATGGCGGTTGACCATAAGGTATATTCCAAAAGGCAAAATATGAGTTGTTAGAATTGGTTTTAAGTTCAGTTCCTCTGATTTTACCATTTGGTATTGAAACTACTGGATCTGCTAGAGACTAAAAATGAAAATTGTTGAAATTCAAAGAACTAATAAATATATTTTTTTTTTTTTTTTTTTTTTTTTTTTTTTGGCTTTGAGCATAGCTCACTTAGCCACGAAAACATAATTCAAACTTTAGCTAACCATTCACCCAACGATATACAGATAAAAAAAAAAAGGAAGGAATCTAGCAAAAAGGATAAACACATGGACACACGCTTCTCGTCCTGGGGTCTATGCAGGACATTTTTAAACTTTTTAATTTTTTAAACTAATAAATATACAGGGCGACAGTTTAAAAACTTGCAATGCGATATAACTTCAAAACTCAGCAAAAAAATCTTAAATGGCAACACTCCTACTCTTAATAAAGTACCTTATTTTGCAGCTCCTAAGAAAACGTTTATTTTCTACTTAACTATTATTATGAATCTATATTACCCAGGAAACGAAATCAGTTAATATACCTATGACAACCTGAGGGCATTATAAGAGGCCGTTATAGATCATAAATACCCGCTAATAATATCGTCCGATTATAATGCCCTCAGGTTGTTACAGGTAGGTATATTAGCTTATTTCGTTTCCTAGGTACAGGTAAGTAGTACAGGCACAGATCACCTAATACAGATGCGTAAGTACGTATACTTGCCGTCGACGATATTTTGTGACGAAGCCGGGCTGCCAGCAATGCCACGCATAGATAAAGATCGCCCGCGTCAGGACAATTAACGTGGCCGAGTGCGTGAGCATGTTCCAGTCTGTGTGTTTACATATTTTTGCGGGTAGAAAATAGTTATTTTGGTTTCCTGACAGGTATGTGTCACCATGACTCCAGTGTGCGAACTAGCTATTTCGCGCACTAGGGTGCGAAATAGCTAGTTCGCGCACTGGTGTCATGGTGACATGTACCTGTCAGGAAACCAAAAATAATTAAAATTCACCTACCTTTGATTGAAAATGCAATTTTGGCTTCAAATGATCTATATTTGAATGCAGTTGTAGAAAAAATATTGTTTGCAACTCGTGCGCGAAATGTTTTTGGTGATCTCGAACAATTTTTTTACTCCGCTACGCGTCGTCAAAAAATAAGTTCTCGATCACCAAAATGACATTTCGCGCACTAGATACAAAAATAACTATTTGCTGTTTGTGAACCAATTAAAGAAATAATATTATATTATTGAGCTTCCGCATTTATATAATAAATATGTTCAAAATACTTTGATGTGACATTGGTGCGGCCAGCCTATGTCTATCAAATTAATTTTAAACCACGAATTCGCCGCTCTTTCGCATCTGTATGTAGGTAATCTGTGGTACAGGTACAGTCAGCAAATAAAGTAATGTCCCAAATTAAAAATTTATCAGTTTATAAAAAATAAACTGTTTAAAATATTTATGTAATTTTTTGTTTAACATTAGTTCTATATGGTTGGTCATCAGCTGTAATAAAAAAAAAACTATCGTAGTCAAAAGATTCTGTTTTTGAGGCCCGTGAATTTTTAATTTGGGACATTACTTTATTTGCTGACTGTACCTACATAGTCATCATAGTGGGGTCATGACTCAAATATAAAACGACCGTTTGGATTACAGAGGAGGACTGTAAGGGTTATATGTGGTTTGAGATACACAGACGATTGTAGGGATGCATTTGTAAAATTGAAAATTCTTAGTAGGTATATCCCTTGTATATATACATATATTTCATTGCCTGATATACTTAAAGAAACATACGTCTGAATATCAATTGCACGAAGATATACATAGTCATAATACAAGGCCTAAAGATCATCTTTACATAGACTTCCATCGAATAAATGAAATTAGGAGTGGAATAACATTCTATGGTCCTAACTTTTTTAACAGGTTGCCTCCCACAGTGCCTACAAAACAGTTTAAGCTTGTAGTTGAAACATACCTAAGTATAAGAAATGTTTCTATTCTCTGGATGAATTTCTTAGTAACAGTTTTCTAGATCTTGTACAGAAGAACTTCTTCCCAAATTAGTACTAATTATATGTAATATTCTTTAACTTGTGTTTTAAAGGATATTCAATTTTGAAACTTTGTAATTTTTCCAGTGACGTCTGTAAACACTTTATACTGTGGAATTAACAGGAATAAGTTATTATTATTATTATCATTATTATTACTACGGGCACTTTCAGATTATAATGCTCTTGGTACATGAATAGCTATTAGGTATATCATGGTGCCTAATTATTCAACTACCTACCCTACCTACTAATTTAGAGACATAGGTATTTGAAATTTTCAATTTCCAAAAAAAAAATTATCGAATGTAATACCACAAGAGGTTTTAGGATTACCGGATAATACTTTTACCTGTCACGAAACGCGTTACGCAGGCAACACCACGACTCCGAAGGAGGAGTGGTGTTGCTAGTAACGCGTCGAGTGTCAGGTGAAAGTATTAGGTAATCCTGAAACATCGAGTGGTATTCAAAAGGTTATACAATGAACTAAACTATAATACTTTAAAATTTAAAAAAAAAATCTATAACAGAATTTGCCATAAATGCCACCAAGCATGATAATCCCAAAAGGCTTATCACTTATTAAGCCTCTCGTGTCATATGGGAATAATGTACAGTGAATTGTATAATCAATTCAAGAAACGAATATGCCTGCTCGAACATTATTTTTTTAAGGCACCTACTGAGTTGCTACATAATTTTTTTCTACTCAATGCGTGTCGATTCGTATTTCTCCAGTAACAGCAATTTTGCTTAAATCAATTTCAATACATAAATTAAATACTCGAACATACTTTCAGGTCGAGGCTTTAGTATTAGTTTTGTTTCATAGAATTGAGTCTTAGTAATTTACGTCACAGGCCTGGGAAGTGACAGTACAAGTTAGGAATTTCTGAACGAGAACTTCAAAATACCATCATGGATTTGTATCATAGTTGGCTATTGAAAAGATTGACACGGGTGATCGTCTAAAATAGCCAATGAAGATAGTAACAAGGGACAACATAAATAAACAATGCACAAATTGTCATGAAATATCAAATATCGAAATTCAAGATACAAGGGAAATCCTCTACGAAGTCGGACATCTGTTATTAGATACTGTCAATCAGAAGCATAGTGAAGAACTGGACGAAATCAATGACGAAATAATACCAATAAGTACCAAACTTGCTGTATACCTACACCATTTCCAAATCCAAGTGGCAGTAAATGACAAACTGGTAATTTTCATTACAACCTATCAAATGTCCTCCCTGCATGGGCACTGGTCCAGGTAGGGCGTTTCAACCAATAGGAAGCCTGGTGTTTGTTTACAATTTAGGTTATCAAATGTCATTTACTGCTGCTTGGATTTGGAAATGTTGTAGGTTTATGGACTAATGAGATTATTTGGGATTGTCAAAATAATTCGAACTGGTGGCTATGGGAAAAAGACTTACATCCGTATGCAACATCCTCTTTTAATTTTAAAAGCATTAACTTGTATAAAGCTTAGAGAGTGTCTATTCTTGTAACCAGGGAACTCATGAGAACGATTGCTCAGTCTTTGTAAGTGTTATGTGTTATCGAAATATAATCGACATCTTGTTTATACAGACACAGTAATCGGTACATTTGTGATTTTTATGAAAAACGGTCAGGATTTACGTTTTTGGGCCTTAAGGCAAGATTTTTGCACATATCTAGGGGATCTGCATGCACCCCTTCCGCTTGATGAAGGTCGCCGTCTTCAGTTTATTGGATGCCATTAAGCATAATGGACGCATATTCTTCAGCGCCAAGTATGGCGTCTATTGGACCGGGTTTCATGAAGGTTGGATCATCTGCTAACAATTAATTTTTTCAACATCTTATTTCACTAACTTGAACTTCTTCTGCAGGTGTTGTTTGAGTTAGCTTGGTCAGTACCATCATAGTCACCTAGCTCACCTAGCATAGTGAATTTGCTAGGAACTCGTGGTTTTAAGTGGATATCTACAGCCCATTTGGATATTTCCGGACTTTCATCTCCTACCGCCTACCGCAAATATTTCTGTAGAAATTCTTCTTCGTGGAGACCTAATCCCTGTGTAGCTTCTTCTGTAAAAAACGATACTTGTGACCCTTGATCGATAAGTACTCGTAACTGCTATATCGTACATGGTGTGGTCACTTCTGCTATGGCGGCTGCTAGTAATACATTGTCATTTGTGCCATTTGTGTAGTTGGACGACGCTCGCTGAGGCTGTTTTGAAGGTCGTGCCGGTCTTATCGTTGATCCATTGTTATAATATAAATTTTGAGGTTGATTTTGTCTCTCCTGATGCAATAGTGTATGATGCCGTCGATTGCACATGTTACACATTTGCTCTTTCCATTCAAGTCTGTGTCATGCAGTTTTGACATAAGCGGCTCTTATAGATACGAACTTTTTTTTTTCTCTAAAGACTGAAATCTTCCCTACAAAAATTTCATGAACGTGTCAAAGTCTTGCATTTCATGAGGGTTCTGGAAACTTTGTTCATAGACTCCGAGTCCTATTTCCTTGAAATAAGACGCATTGTTATTGGAAACCATGCTTCTGATTCCACGCTGAAAGTGATTGCTACTTGCTTTACCCCGTATATGCGCCTTCAAGAATTGCATCTTTTCTGTGGTATGGATTGCTTGATTTTCATGTTTTACTTGCTTGAATATGTTATGAAATACGAGCCAATTATCGTTATTCCCATGAAAGAGTCTGGTAACTGTAGGTTTTACTGGGAACGAAGGCTGAATTGGTTGGCTTTATTCATTCGATTTTTCTGTAAATTTTTCGATAATGGCTTCATATCGCTGCTGGATCCTGAACAAACGGTCCTGTTTGAAGTAAATGCCTCTGAAGTGGTTTTCATTGATTGTTATTTCCTCGTCTAAGTCTTGAATTGCGTCCCACTGCTTTTGGATCTTCTGTCGTTGAAGTTCATAACGGCTCTTGAATCTTTCTTCTTGATCGATTTGGTCCATAGTGTTATCAATTTGCTGAAGTCTA